GGGCTTTGTCCGGGGACAGACCCTCAACGTGAACAGCCTGGTGCATATTGTGGGGCACGGAGACTTCCAGATGAGCCAGGTGGATGCCCCCCCCGATCCCCTCTCTTTGAACCCCCGAGTGGTTAAAGGACAGAAGAGGAGTCAGGACATGGAGGTCCAGGTGTGTGGGAGGTCAGGGCTTTGCTGGTCCTGTTAGAACACAATATTTCTAAACTTTCATCAGGAAAATACAACTGGGTGTATGTGGTTGAGGGGAGGGGAAAGGGAGCTGTATCAGAGCCAGTAGGGCTGTGTTCTGCCACTGAGCTGAGGTTCCTTGCCCACAGCATGTACTGAATGTTATGTTACGACGTAACGAATGTGATACTGAAGGGAGTTTTGCTTCAGACTGATTGCTAGCTTGAGTTAGGTGTGTTCACAGCTGGGAACTCTGCTCTTGCCCTTCAGGATGACTCTGTAAATGGTACCGATGAGATGGAGGAAGATGTTAAGGTCCTGATGAAGGCAGATCCAAACAAGCAGGAGTCTTTGCAGTCAGAAGTGGTTCCTGATCCTATGGAAGGGGAGCAGACGTGGCCTACTGAAGAAGAACTGCAAGAAGCAGAGGGTGAGTAGCAGCAATACTTGGGTGAGTAGCAGCAATACTTCTGTACCTTTTTCTTGTCCTTGTTAAGAGGGTTGTTAGAAATCCTCCGTCACCAGGATGGCTAAGCATGGCTGTGAAGAAACACGCTAGTTGGGAGCCCAGGACTTCCATTCCTAGTCCCATCACCTGACTACCAGGCTGCATGGTTTGCCTGGCAGTTAGCAGGGTTACATTTTAGCTGTCTGTTATGGGCCCTGACATTCTGTGCTGGGAAACAGTGATCCTGGTCTAGAGCTGATCTTGGCTGTCCCGGTGTAAATGTTGCTGAGGAAAAGGAGAATTGTTCTTGTATTAACTATTGGTGGGAATCCTACAGCTTCTCTGAAGGCAAACAGGAGGGTGGTGAAGGTCCCCAAAGGCACATCCAAGTACCAGGCTGCCTGGATTGTGGATGATGGAGAAGAGGGCAATCAGGAAGATGATGATGATGACGATGAGGATGATGACATCGATGATGATATGATGGAAGAGGCAGTTTCCCAGGTACATCTAAGAGCTGATACTGCAGGTGATCTCCAGGGCGTTATTGCGTATCCTAGGACAATCCTGTCCTTTCGGCTTGCTTCATGCAAGGGCACAACACAGAGCCAGGACTTGCCTGGATTTCCATTGTTAAATCTCTCACGTGTATCATGTTGCTTCTTTGGCCTGTTAGATACCGAAATGAGGGACTGAGGTGTAGCTTGGAGCATAATTCAAACAGTGCGAGTACACGCAGGGTTTGCAGTGTTGCATGGACATCAGCAGAGTGCCTGTGCTCATGGGCTCTGTGCTGTCCTCTGTGTCAGGAGGGGGAAAGCAGTGAGGAGGAAGAGGAACCTGCTGAGGAGGAATGTGAGACCATGACTGTTTCCGAGTGCTTGCGGGACGACCAGTACGACGAGAAAGTGGAGGAAGATGAACAGATGCTGGAGAGATACAAACAGGAGAGAATGGATGAAATGTTTCCGGATGAGGTGGACACGCCACGTGATGTAGCTGCCAGAGTCCGGTAAGAAACAGGATGCTTTGCTGGGAGAGGAGCTGGAAGGTACCCTTCTGTCTAGTTTGAGAGAGGGCAGGAAGCCTGTGATGCCTTAGCCGTGGTGTCTGAACCTGGCTGAAGGATTCTTCTGAAGACTCACTCCTAGGCTCTGAGGCTTCCAGGGGAGGCACTAGTTGGGGGGCAGTGGGTGGGCCTGGGCAGCTCCCTGCAGCAGAGAGTTGGGTCCGACCTGGGAGAGGGAGGAGGATGGCAGAGCCCTGATGCAAGGGCAGGTTATTTGGGGGCTTGGCTGCTGTTTCTAGCTCTCCCTGCACTAAGATCTTTTCTGAAAGCTAACATTTGCTTTGCTCCCTTTGCCCTCTCTGAAGGTGTGAGTCCTTGCGGACCACAGAAGGTGCTGGCCAGATACCTTGATTTGTGAAGCAGTTTGTCTTTCCTGTTATCTGTCCTTTAGGTTCCAGAAGTACAGGGGGCTGAAGAGCTTCCGGACTTCTCCATGGGACCCCAAAGAGAATCTCCCAAGGGACTATGCCAGGATTTTCCAGTTCCAGGACTTCTCCCGAACCAGAAAGCACCTTTTCCGGCAAATCGAGAAAGAGGAGACTGAAGGAGCCTCGGTAACTCCCTTTTCTCTTGCTGATCTCTTTAGTGATCTCTTCCTCCTAATAGGAAGGACTTGGCAGGGTGGCAGCTGAGTTCTCTATTGAGAGAAGTATTCACAACCAGTTCTCTCTTGGCAGGTTGGCTGGTACGTTACACTTCATGTCTGCAATGTCCCTATTTCAGTGATGGAGAGCTTCAAAGAAGGGAAGCCCCTGGTCCTGTTCTCACTGCTTCCCCACGAACAAAAGGTGACTAATAACAACCCTGCTGATATCTTGTAGATGTGCAGCTCCTTGTCTGATTCTCTCAAGCTGTGTGGTTTGGAGAGGTTCTGGCTGCAAAGGGTTTGGGTTGAAATCTCCCTGCATTGTTCGCATTTCAAAGTAGGCCCTTCCCTTTGGTCAGAGCAGGCTGAAGCTGCCAGGGGTGTTTAGGCTCAAGTGTCTGAGCCTGGCTGAGGTGTCTACACTGGTGACCAGTGGTCCTTTGGGAAGCCATTGTCAAGGGCATTTGTCCCTGCTGCAACATCCCATTGCTTTCTGCTCTGGCCACCATCGTTTGCCAGCCCTGCTGTCAGCCCATCACTGTGCTGCCTCTCCTGCAGATGTCCGTGTTGAATTTCCTGGTGCGTCGGCATCCGAGCAACAGTGAGCCAGTGAGGGCAAAGGAGGAGCTGATCTTTCACTGTGGGTTCAGGCGCTTCCGAGCATCCCCCCTGTTCTCCCAGCACACCTCAGGTTTGTGAGGGGCTGGTGGTGTGGGCAAGAGTATGCCAGGAGGTGGGGTTGGGGTTTCTAGGGCAGGAAGCCTGTGATGTCTTAGCCGTGGTGTCTGAACCTGGCTGAAGGACTCTTCTGAAGACTCACTCCTAGGCTCTGAGGCTTCCAGGGGAGGCACTAAATAGTGGGGAATGGAAGGGCTTGGGCAAGGTGGCTCACTGGTCCAGGCAAGGCGGTGGCAGGCTCCGCACAGTGAGCTGGTAGCTCAGAGGATCACCTTCCTTCCCAGATACTTTGTGCCAGCAGTGGAGGGGTGTTTTGTCACCTGTTTTCCTAAAGTGCAGAGCCCCTTTGCCAGGAAAGAATGGGCTTGATGGGGTTTCCCAGAGCTCTGAGGGCTGCTGTGGTCCTGAACTTGATTATTGCTGTTCTGTCCTAGCTGATAAGCACAAGCTGGAGCATTTCCTGCGCCCGGATGCTGCCCTGGTGGTGACTGTTTATGGTCCCATCACTTTTCCTCCTGCCTCAGTGCTTCTTTTTAAACAGAGAAGTAATGGTAAGTTGGTAAGTGCTGAGGAAGTGTCTGGGAAACAAACGTTAGCTGGCCATTCCCATACCTCACTTTTACAAGTGCGTCTATCCAGAAAGTATGACTTGAAAAAGCTGTCCCCTTCATGCTGTTTGAGAAGATTAATGCATTTCCATCCCCATTATCACTGGCACCTTTCTCTGTCCCTGCTGTGGGGTTGCTCTGGGCCTGGAACACTTTGGGGAAGGGAGTCATGGTGGGGGAGGAGTTGATGGAGGCACCTTCTGTGGCGCTGCCCTGGTGTGTTAGTGACTCTGTCTTGCAGGAAAAAAAAAAGACCTCATCGCCACGGGTTCTCTGCTCTCTGTGGATCCAGACAGAATCATCATTAAGCGGCTGGTGCTCAGTGGCCATCCTTTCAAGATCTTTACCAAGACAGCTGTCGTGCGATACATGTTCTTTAACAGAGGTACAGCCCATCTCTGTGTGGTGGGAAGAGGGGATTCGGAAGCAGAACTCCTGCCCCTTTGTGTTGGTGCAGCAAAGCCTGTTTCTTACCTGCCTTTCGTGTTTTGATCGCCAGAGGATGTGATGTGGTTTAAGCCAGTGGAGCTGAGGACGAAGTGGGGTCGTAGAGGACACATCAAGGAGCCATTAGGTAGGTTTGGTTCTGTGTTTATCTCTGTGATGCTGGGCAGGATGTGGTCCTGCTGGGCAGGAGAGACAGCTAATGGCTGCATCTGCTCTCTGCCTAGGGACCCATGGTCACATGAAGTGCCACTTCGATGGACAGCTGAAGTCCCAGGACACGGTGCTGCTGACCCTCTACAAGCGTGTTTTTCCTAAATGGACTTACGACCCCCATGTTCCGGAGCCTGTGCCGTGGGTGAGGAGCGAGAGCGCGCTGCTGATGCAGGAGGTGGAAATGGAATAAGTCTTCAGCGTGGCTAATGCAGGTTGTGCCTTAGCTCCCTGGATGCTGTTCTCAGCCCATGCACAGCGAGGACAGCACTGATGTCTTGGACGTATTACTGCTGGGGTCTGTACAGGGGTGGCTGCCTCACCAGCTGCTGCTCAGGTACCAGCTACAGCTATTTATTTTAATGGAAAATGTTTTAAAAAACATCTAAGTGCCTCTGTGTTGGTGGTGGCCGGCTGTGGAGGCCAAATGGGGAGGCTGTGTGCACCCCTTCTCTTGTGAACCCTGTGGCCCACTGGGGCTGTTGTCTTTCCCTCCTGCCCTGCCATAATGATGGGTCCAGGGATTTTGCTGTTTTGAGGACAGGAGTTTGCTGGAAGTTATTGTTGACGCTGAGAAAGAGAGGTGAAGTAGCAGGTGGGGAAAGTGAGTGCAGCTCACTGGAGGCCTGTCCCAGAGCACAACAGGCAGTGCTTTGCTTCCAGCCCCCCCCCCCGCTCCCAGTAGTGACCCTTTGCTTTGGAACCAAGTGACTCTGTGCTGTAGAGACCAATGCCAGCTTCCGTTATGCCTCCACAAAAACTTTCAAACATTTGGGGTTGTTCATGTTTTTAGTAGCGCACAAACCAGACTGTACAAATTCAGAGTGAGGTTTCCGTTGCTTGAGACACCGCTCTCTTCTCATTCCGCTTTCCCAGGGAGGTCTGTGAGCCAGGTCAGGGAGCTCAGGTCCACGTTTCCCCCACACAGCACGATGCAAACGTTCTCCACGTCCCGGGGGACTGCCTGGAACTGCTCTGAGAGCACAGCCGCCACTCCCACACCCGCTGTTGGCTCAATCAGCAGCTTCATCCTTTCCCACACCAGCTGCGTGGCTCGCTGTTGGGACAGAGCAGCAGCTGTCATCCCAGCAGCAAGTACAGGCTGCTCGGGGGCTGCGGAGGGCACTGCGCATGCACATCTCTCTGGGAGGGGAGAGCAGAGCTTCCGCCAGCCCTTTCCAGCTGGAGACAGTGTGGGTGTTGCACAGCTGTGGTGGTGTACAGGGGGCTTGTGCTGCCCTGGGAGAGTGTAGGGGTGAGAGCGGAGGGGCAGAGCATGGATGGAGGCAGCTGCCTGCTGGCAGCTACCGTGAGAAGGGAGCCGGGAGCATTTACCTTGATTTCTTCCTCCGAGACGGTCAGGACATCATCAACCAAATCCCTGATGATGGGCCATGTGTTTGGTCCGATGCTGGTTTTAACCGCATCTGCGATGGTATCCGGCGGGTGAAGGTTGGGGGTCAGTTCCCCTCTTACCTTGGACTGGTAACAGTCATCTGCGTTGCGCGGCTCGGCAGCGAACACTTTCACATCACCTTGATTTCTTCCTCCGAGACGGTCAGGACATCATCAACCAAATCCCTGATGATGGGCCATGTGTTTGGTCCGATGCTGGTTTTAACCGCATCTGCGATGGTATCCGGCGGGTGAAGGTTGGGGGTCAGTTCCCCTCTTACCTTGGACTGGTAACAGTCATCTGCGTTGCGCGGCTCGGCAGCGAACACTTTCACATCTGGTCTCAAAGCCTGCGGAGAGCATCGCTTTAAGCTAGCGTGTGTCTGTCTGCTGTTGCTGCGCACGCAGGGGGCCAAGCATGCCATGCTGCTGCCGTGCAGACCCCAGGCACACAGAGATTTCCACAGCAGGCTTTCCACAGCTGCTGCCTGTCTTTGGGAGCCCGGCCCTTCCCATGAGGAGATGCGGCCACCGCTTCTCGGATAAGCTGTTGCCTACCTTGATGGCAACTGCTATTCCTGCAATCATTCCTCCACCTCCGACAGGAACCACCACTGCATTTACCTCGGGTGCCTGTGCAGAAGGGAAGCATGAGTGCTCTCTTTTGCTGCACCCCTGCCTGTGAGGAGCAGAGCCCTGGGCTAGGTCCAGGCTGTGCGTTTCCCTTACCTGCTCCAGCACCTCTAGGGCGATAGTGCCTTGCCCCGCCATCACTGACAGCTCCTGGTTGGGGTGCACCATGACTCCTCCTGTCTCCTTGACTATGCGAGCTGCTGTCTCGGCTCTAGACTAAGGGGAAGAGTGCAGCTGCGCCGTGTCCCTGACCGGTCTCCCCTGTGCCTTACCTGGTCGCTGGGCTCACATGGCACCAGCATGGCGCCATAGGTGCGGATGGCGGCTTGCTTACAGCGTGGGGCTGTCCGGGGCACCACGATGTAGGCAGGAATCCCTGTGTGAAAAAAAGAGGGGGGCAAGCCCAACAGCCACAAAGCCCTAAGCAGCCAGTTAGCGCTGGAGGAGCACTGTGTGCTCAGCCTGGGCTGTGCCTTGCCTATGCTAGCCCCTGTTCAGGAGAGGGATGCCCCTGCTTACCTCCAGGCCACCAGCTCTCCATTTACCCCTGGCTCTATGCCTGCTGCCTGGCTGCTCTCTGAGCTGGGGCTGGAGCTCGGGGTATGCATTACCTTCGCCCTGGGCAGCACAGGCGAGCGCCTGCCCGTGATTCCCACTGCTGTGCGTCACGACAGCCCGGGGCAGCCCCCCTCCGGCGCGCTGGCTTTCCTCAACAAGGTTCTTGACGGCGTTCAGGGCACCGCGGATCTGGAAAGACAGCGCAGCACCCTCAGTAACGCTGCCCAGTGCTGGGCTGTGCGGGCAGGTGGGGAATTTCCTTCCTTGCAG